ATCCTACAAAAACAATAAATAGTGATCGCGAACATAAAACTTAAGGTGTCAAGGAAAAAATAACGTATGTTGTAAAATGTAGTATAATGTAGACGTAGTCCCTCACACCATTGTATTTTCTTTTTTCATACATGTTGTTTTTATGCAATTAGCCCTCGGGCATATATTTGCACTTTCTTATATTGTTTTTTTTTTTCTTGTCGCCGTTAAGATTTTTTTCTGTCTCCTTATTTCGGAAGTTCTTTCAACCCATAATTCCTAACAGTGCTAGCCTGGTGTAGTCTCTAGATCCCATTATTAAGTCTCAAATATTTCGGATAGCAGTCTATTGTGTTCCCGCTGGAATTGTCGGAAATTATTAGACAGCATTCCGACGGAATTCTCGAACAGAACAAGGCCGTACGGGGCAGTGGCCGGGATGCCGATACTAGCTACCAGACCCAATCATTACAGGGCTCCAAATCATTTTTTTCATACATGCACTGGTGTGTACTGGTGCAAATTATCTTACCCGCAGCACCTAAATTTTAGGAAGTATATACATGTATTGCACTAAAAACTTTTCAGAAACCATTGACATTATTTCTTTTATACTTCAGTGGTGATAACAGTAGATGCAGCAAAAACAAAGACGTACACCTACATGTATATGATACCCAGTACATAGACCACTGCAGGTTAGGTGCAGGTAGACATTAGAAATACCTGCACAGTTCCAATTTTACCTGCACTAACCTGCATATACACTCAGTATTTCGAGCCCTGCATTAATACGTTCCTTTCATCGGAGGCAGTTCTGGGACCCTCCGGAAGCAATTGTATTTTCTGTTGGATTGAACTAAGCCGCAAACTCGGAAACTCTAACTAGTGCAGGGTCCGGTGGTGGATTCAACTTTCTACTTTACGACTCTCTCCTTAAACCGGCAACACGAGGGTCTGCAGCGGAGTAGTTATGTGACACCGGAGAACTGTAAATACTTCGGCGGGAACGTTTGGAGTTAAGACGGCGGGATTCGGCTGTAAATTCTGCTCCCCTGTCTGTAATGTGGGTCGGGAAAACAAAGCTAGCCGTACTCCAGGGCCGTGCTGTCTGCTACTGGAAAAGATATAAGAACGTGTTGGTCATGACATCTGAAATTACCGTGAAATTGTGGGAGACTTTGCAAGAAATTCACTGAAATCAACTCTGTATGTGTGTGTGTGTGTGTGTGTGTGTGTGTGTGTGTGTGCGTGTGTGTGTGTGTGTGTGTGTATGTGTACATATATGGTTATAGAGTTTCAGATGTCTGTCTGTCTGTCTCTTTGTTTATGTGTGCATGCGTGTATGAGTATGTGTGTGTGTGTGTATTTGTGTGTGTACGCATGTTTGTGTATGTATGTATGTTTGTGTGTGTGCATGTATGTTTTTGTGAGTGTATTTTTATTTGTTTGAGCGTGTGTATGTACAAAAGGTTTAACGAAAACAACTCTACTCGTAAACATCTCGTACATCTGTTGCGTTAAACGCTAAGAAAACCTCTTCCACCAATAACATCTCTCTTTTTCATTCCCCTCAGGCTGGGGGGGGGGGAGGTTGGAGGACTAGCATTTGTTTATTTGTTAACTTAACTAAAAGATTTAACACCAATGGAGTGGAAATCAAAACACGGTGACTAAAACCACGTTTACAGGTTGTCTCCCAACACAGTAGCGAGAGATTCGTCACCGAGGACTGAAAAAAATGTACAATTACTAAAGGCGCCAAAGGAGTTCAGAGACTTAAAACTTGTCGGCCAACACATCAAATCCTCTGGCGAACTATTGTTCTATTTGGCCAGTCTCCACATGTACGTATACTGTATTTCAGCCAACGACTCAACATGGGACTAACAATAAGAACCGTGCCTATCTACTTCTATGCCTGGTTCTGGGTTGTCTACACGTATCCAAGAACGAAGATTTGTTCTTGGCATGATTCTGGATACGCTTCGACTATCCAGGACCGCGTGAGGGCATGGTTCTGGATAAAGCACGGTTTTGGATGTATGTGGACTATCCAGAATCGTGCCTGAGCATTGTTCCAGATAGAGCACGGTTCTGGATACAACACGGCCCACGCACCTCCCTGGCTCTGGCCTGTTGAGCCCACATAATCTCCGTGTTTTCCTTCGTTAGAATCCGTTATAACTTACAGGACGAGAGCAGGCAGTCTATGGTGTTATGGTATACTTCAAACTGTTGCACACGTTCTATCCGTATTCTCTCATCTGAAGTAGATTATTTGGATGAAAAAATATAACGTCTGTTTTTCTTCCTGATTTTCTGACACACAACAATCCCGACTATTGTATATTACCCATTTCATCTGTTCGCCTGTACTTAGCCCGGTAGGGCATGAATGTACAATAAAGGTTACTATTAATTAATTGTTATAAAAGGGGTGATTTCTCCCCCAATGCCCTACTGACCGATGTTGACACGCCATATATCTCTGTAATCTCAAGGCAAATGTCTTGGGATAAAAATGCGTTACACTTTCATAGGCAAGTCAACAGTGCACGTGCCTTGTGTATAACATGCTAGCCGGGCGACTATGGTATACATATCATCTATATCTTCACTACAAACCGTCTCCCTGGGTTAGAAAAAGGTATATTGATCTAGTAGGGCGAATAAGAAGACCGAAGAAGGACAAATTGGTAAATATGGTGGCGTTTTCTATTTTCTTTCCGGCAACTTAACCCAAGCAGTTGTAGAGACTGTCTAGTCCCAAAGATAACGCTTGTTGTGGTAGTCTCTAACGATGATTACCTCCAGCACCCAGCCACAGGGACAAGCTTTACTACTTGTTGTTTCGTCTGCTAATGAGGCATGTAATGCCGTTTGTAAACAGAGGATAGCGGTGCTTGCCGAGGTGTCCTGCAAGGCTTTACAGCGAAGATCCCCGCGTTCCTAGCAGTAAGCTTTCTCCGCCCTAGATTGTCGTCACACAAAAAAGGAAAGTATGTATCAGAATGTACTCTTCAAGCAGAGGTTTGTGTTTTGGTTTACTTTAAAACGGGGTTTGTGTGAAAAAAAAATTCCAGTGCAGAAAAGAAACCCCGATAAAAAAAGCCTAAAACCCCCAAACCTCTGCTTGGAGAGTATAAGAATGTTTGTTATTCAACAACCATGAGTTTTCTGTCACCCTTTTCAGGACAACAATGTCTGGTTCTGATCATCATACTGCTTCCATTCTTGATTGTCTCAATGTTGAAAGTATACTTTTCTGTTGAAAGCATGTTTTAGCACACAGTATATTGTACAGAGTTCAGAGGTGTTGAACTGTATGCTTCCCACCTCTATAATGGAGGTGTATTTTGTTTTTATCTGTGCGATGCCTATTGCCTAAACAAGGATTCTATTGCCAAGCTGACCCAAAGAGATTTTACCACAGCCTTCTCTGACTCTAATAGATCCTGAGAAATTCTCAAACGGGGTTTAACTCAGAGAAGGCCGCGGTAAAATTTCCTCGTGGGCCACAGGGCCGAGGGGCTGGCCTGTGTAGGTCCTGGAGCCGAGGAGCTGGCCTGTGTAGGCCCTGGAGCCGAGGAGCTGGCATGTGTAGGCCCTGGAGCCGAGGAGCTGGCCTGTGTGGGCCCTGGAGCCGGGGAGCTGGCCTGTGTAGGCCCTAGAGCCGGGGAGCTGGCCTGTGTAGGCCCTGGAGCCGAGGAGCTGGCCTGTGTAGGCCCTGGTGCCGAGGAGCTGGCCTGTGTAGGCCCTGGAGCCGAGGAGCTGGCCCGTGTAGGCCCTGGAAACAGACCGGTATCCAGGCTAACGTCTAGAGGCTACGGACTCCACACGCGGGTCTGTAGGGGCACGGCACCGGGTCGTCCTGACGGCCTGACAGAGCCGGTCCGTGTGAGGGGGAGTTGGGACATGCCATCTTCACGCCCTGAAACCGTTACTTACATCCAGCTGCGCTCAAGGGTCACATGTGAGCCCGCGGTGTTTACAGAAGGTGCTTTAAGGCAGCTCCCTGTGTAATTGAGGCTTAGACCGACATATACAATTTCAGGTACGGTTTGGGCCGACCTTAATCAGCACGACGCCCGGCCATCTGGATTTTTCAGCAGCCCGCTCCTGGTTGGACCCTCCGATCCTTCGGTGGAGGAAAGTCTGTTTTCTCTACAGGCGATCCGGCAATTTCTAGAGTAACCTTGACAGTGAACCTGTGCCAAGGACTAGCGGGCACTGACTGTATACCTGGTTTCTGGTAGAACTGTGCGGTCAGATACGCCGTGTGATGTCAGTTTGCTTCGTCGTAGGGTTTTTAGCGAGTCTATCATCGACGAGGGCCTAGAATGTACGCGCCATCACACGACAGCTGAAGGTTGTACAACACGTCCACGACTGCATGTGCCAAGAATGCCATACGCACGTGGCGTGTACGCAGTCGTAACGGTGCGGCCACAGTCGTCGTAGGCCGTCGTACGATTTTTCCAGCAGGTTGTGACAAAACCAAACGCCGACAAGGATCTCATTAGCCTAGTCGTTTCTGACAGTTGAAGTTTGTACGACATGTGTACGACTATCACAAGAATGCCCGTAGTCTGATGCCGTACGACGGTCGTGCGATAAAATTGACCAGGCCTTTAGGTAAAGTCGCAGCGTTGTATCCAGAACCGTGCTTTTGATAGTCCACGCGTATCCAGAACCGTGCCTGGGGCCTGATCCTAACTGTAACCCTTCCAGGCATAGAAATAGATAGGCACGGATCTGGATACGATATCCATAGAGACCCAACCCTAGTCCATTCAGGCTCAGGCACTGTTCTTGATACGATACCGCGTGTCACGCGTCGCTCGAGCCCTAGCCCCCGGTGTCAGACCCCGAGACCTGTCCTGCCCCTGCCCGACGCCCCGGGTGTCAGACCCCGGCAACCCCCGGCGACCTGCCCGCCGCCGCCGGCAGACAGTTGGCGGCGTTACTCAACCCTCCGGGCTGTTTGACAGTAGTTTATAAAACCGTGACACGAAAACATGGGCACGGGTCACGCCGGGATGACAGATACAGAAAACATTCGGGGTTACATGCGGCTGACTGACAGACAGGTACGGAGGAGCAGTGGCGTGTCCAGAACCGGGTCTGTCTAGTGCTAGGTCTGAATGGGTACGGTTAGGGTCTATACCGTATCCAAAACCATATCTATCTTTTCAGTATCTAGTCCTGTGACTGAGCTGAACGGGTTAGGGTTACGTCCAGACGCGGGTTTGAATTGCCTCCATCTTATCCAGATCTGTGCCTATCTAGTTCTATGTCTGAATAACGGTTATGGTTAGGATCAGACACAGTTCTGGATAGTCTTGGTGTATCCAGAACCGTTTTGGATGGGAAGATAGTCACCTTCTTCTGACTTGTGTCCTTTTCTGACAACCATCCATCCGTCCATCCATCCATTCATTCATTCATTTCAATTAATAATCATTCAACCTTATGAGTATACCATGTGCTTGGTCGGAAGAAGTAAAAACAACTTAAACCAACGTTCCTCTCACCACCTGCATGGTGAAGGAAAATGTTTTCAATACTTTGGGCAAATACGCACTGTTACATATTTGCCACACGTACGGGACTCTATTAGCGGAGGTTTTAATTGAGGCGTGTAGAGTTCGGTTTGTAACAGTTCCTTCCGGCAGAGAGAGTGAGTTTGTTAGGTAGTTTCCGCCATGGCCCGAGGGCGGGGACTGGGTCTGATCAGGTGTCAGAAAAAATCTACCGTGGCCGACAGGTACATCCAGAATTCAACAAAGAAGTTCTGCCGCATTTTGCAGGATCGTAGAATGCCAACAACCCTGTACCAACAAATCACCTTCCAGTCAAGGGACAGTCAGTTTCAAACACGATCAACAACAACAAACTGCCAAAACTGAACACAAATGCCCAGAAGAGATTCCCGCATGTCTTACCAGTGGAATTTATATATCATACCTCACAAGACAGGACAGTTCTTTCATGAATTCGTTCTTTATTAATTTCAGAATCTATATTATGTTATGAATACCATCTAAGTTAAGTCTGTGTTGTTACCCTGTGTTACTGTGTGACAGTTGTTCTTTCGTGTTGAGGTATTACATGTTGAAGGACCACAGAAAGAATGGCTAAAGCTAAATTGTGGATCCTAGTAAAGTCAAAGTCACATACTGACTTTTAGACAAATGTTTATTGCTCTCTGACCTTAATTTACACAATAAGAATCCCTAGATGTTATACATCAACAGTTTTACAAAAGTCGTAACTGTTAGCCACGGTCGGTACTATAGGAAAGAACAAAAAAAAGCTTACAGCAGAAATACAAGTCTGTACTCCTATATCTAGGTTCTTGCAAACAAAACAGATATTTGTTAAGTAAAAAATTCTCCTTAAGCCCGTAGCCTGCCGACATACAGCCCGGTACGTGACTACCTGCATACAGCGGTGTTGCCAGGGGCGACCAATGTTCCAAGCATAGTTTGGTCAATCAAATTTCCTGTTGCAATCCGGCGGCCGTTCTGCACAGAAAATAACATTTAGGCGTGTGAAATTATTCGGAAACGATGTGGGGTCGTGTGGCGTAACGGCAGAGTACTCGGCTCAGAACCATGAGGTTCTGGGTTCGAGTCCTGCCATGCCACCGATCTTGTGCCCTTTGGAAATGCACTTTACACGACTTTCCTCACTTCACTCAGGTGAAAATGAGTATTGTCCTCTGTGTTGCTTTTGAGTGTGTTGGTTCGAAAACGATGTGGGTTGGGGTGCTGCTGTGTGGTATAGAAAGACTTGTTCAGCCATTTAACATCGATTTTGAACATAGAAATACCATAGAAAAGTTGCAACAATATGTTGAGAGGTTAATGATATTGTTACCTTTTCTATGAATGACTAAAAAAGCAAACATAAGAAAACACCAAGTTATTCTTTTGACACCGTGATATTCAAAGTAATTATATTTGCACAATAAGGTTTCAAACTATCAAAATGGCAAAAATCGAAATCGATACAAACCCTTTTTATTGTACTCTCATACTGTTCTTTTGTTAGTTTATTCAGTAATGTATTTATTTTTTCTTTTGTTTATTATTTGGTCAAACATTCTCACGCATAATTAGGGAAATCTGATTTACGTTCTAAATTCACCACTTCACATTTCTCCATATGTGGATTACCCAACTTCTTTAAAATTGGTCAAGAACGTGTTTTTCAGGACCCTCTGACCTGACATTATTATGCGTTATATACTGTATGCACCTGTTGCGGTTTTTTGGTAATCTCCAAGCAGATCTTTTGGTGGCAGCAAGACAGTGTCAAATTGGCAAGGCTATATTATCGGCAGGGCAGTGTTCAATACACCTCCAAAGGCTTGCGAGGAAAAGATACCAGTACAAAAGAAAGTCTGATAAAAGCCTCTAGAAACGTCAAAAAGCCACGCCTAAACCTTTGCGTGGAGAGTATAACTAAAAGGCACCTAAGTTATCACTTTGCTTCTACGAATCTCCGACGGTCCAGGTCAAGTCTCTAGATTGCTGCCCCTTTTGTTGAGTTGAAACAAAAAAAGTTGTAGAAATCGTCCCAAAATAGGAATAAGTGCTAAAGGGGCTGCGCTTGCATTGGGAAACAAGGCCGCTCAGTTCTTACCTATTTTTGGACGATTTCTACAAAACTTTTCCACTCGACTCGGAGGTCTGGGAGAAACCAGCTCAGGTCCCGGATCGAGAAAAGATCTGGGCTGTGAAACAAGATCCCACAGTTTTCAATTATCATAATTAGCTTTTCCCAAACACGACTCTAAGGTCCGTAAACACCAAACACTCCGTAGATATAACCTGCCCCCAGAGGTCTCATTCCTGTCGGTTTTCATTTGTCAGACTAACGGGGGGAAGAACTTCCAACGGAGGCGGTTTGGTAACGACCGTGCGCTTTACGAGAAAGGAGTTGGGTTAAAGTTTTTCCTCGCTCGCGTGCGAGCTTGGTGATTCGTGTGTGGGACTTTTTTATTTCCAATTTCTGCAATATAAGAAAGTTTCGACCGCCCAGGACGAAGGTATTTACTCAATATAGGCCATAATTGGATATTGCATGGGTAGATTGGCGCGTTACTTCAGTTACCTGCAGGTATTGCGACAGTCTGGAGCAGGAATTCGCGTCGGCTGGAGCGGGGAAATCGGCCTTAAGCTGGGATTCCGGCAGACAGCGAGAATAAAATCTAGAAGGGAAAACGGGGGTTAAGTTTTACCGACTTGTTTGCGTGCCCTCGTGACACCTCTGTGTGCACCGCTGTAGCAATATGGAGACAATGAAGACAGTCGGAGGGTTTATTTAGTCCGAAATTGGACTGTTTAATTGGATTAACAGGCTGGCAGGCCACACACACGCATCGGGCAAACCAGCAAGGGGATCGCAGAACTAATCTCCAAGCAGAGTTGCTGCATGCAAGACAGTATCAAATTGGCAATACAGTATCCAGTACGTTTTGCTGACTAAAAAAAAGTTACCAATACAAAACAGAAAGCCCAGTAGGAACGCCTAAAACACGTCAAAAATAAGTCGAAACCAAAACCTCTGCTTGAATGCTAGGGTGAAACTTCTTTCTCCATGGTTGTGCAGGAGGATTCAATTTGCCAAAAAGGCCTCTTTGTTTTCCCACAAAACTTAACGATTTTTCACTTTCAAGTGATGCTCATTTCCCCATGTTTGTTTTCATTTTGTCGTCAAAGAGAGAACAGTGATTTATCACATCCTGAATATTGCAATATGAAAGGAATATGCGAAACTGAAACAGATAAACTAGAACCAGAATGATAGAAAGAAAGAATAAGAATATTCTGAAATAAGTGGAGAAAAATTCCGTACGTGCAAGATTGAAAACAGGTTATGTAGAAAAGTTGTCAATATGATAAACGGGAAAAAAAGAAAAGTCAGAACATTGGAGAAGAAACGGGAATATTGCAAAAATATAACACGGTAATTCTATAGAGAGAAGAAAGAATAGCAATTATAAAAGTTATACGTGGCAACAAAAATTGGTTCTAGAAAAGAAAAAAATAAGAGAAAAACTCAAGAACTTGTAAAAGTTAACATATTCAGTCTTTCGTCTTATCTAGCCTCTTGCATACGAAGTTAAGTATCGATTAATTCTAAGACCGCAGCCCACCGACATACAGTCTAGCCCTCCACATGTGTGTAATACGTGATTACGTACATTCCAGGGACAACAACGGATTTAGCTTAGGATAAATTAATTACAATTAGAAAAAACAACAAATCTAGGAAACATGATGAAAACTGCAGCAGCGAAGGCAAAAAAAAAATCGGTTGAAACTCGGCTGAATGTTAAAAAGAAGAAAGGGACAAAACTTACCAAATAGGAAGAATATTTTGCCAAAACAATCCTCTTATTAAAAATATTTCCCCCCTTTGGGCAATTTCAACTTGCAATTTCATTTTTTCAGCTCGCAGAATAAGGTTCATGTTGGGGACTGGCTTAGAAAAATATCTTTTATGTACTTGTGTTCTCTCCTGCAAGACTCTCTGTCCGATTTAGTTCTAGATAGACAGCTTAAGAGATTGAACTTCAGTAGACTCCAATAAACTCTTCAACCTTAAAGCCGACGATTGTTTGCGCGGCTGTTCACGCTTTTTTCCAGACTCACATCTCCCACTCATGGGGTATTTCAGAGCACAGGAATGTATAAATCGGCAGATGAACAAATACAGACACATTATTCCCAGTCTGAGGCTCCTGAAACTATCCTCTTCACACGTTTTAGAGCCGATCTGCTCTATTTACAGCGCGCGTGTTAACTCACAGGTCGGGACATCGCTTCGTGCCCTGGTGTGTCGCGACCTCGAGTTTTGTATGTTGTACTGTATTGCACTTCTACTAATGTCATGTCAACTTTTAACTCAAAGACACATTTGGGGCCTTTAAAAATTGCTACTGAGTTTAAATCAAAGAAATATACTTTAAAATTAAGCGAAAATGTACAAAAGAAAGCATTCCCTTTGGACCGATATGTAAAGCTGTGCCGCAAAAAAAGCTGCATTATAAACTTGATAAGTGTGTAGAAAACAGAAG